CCCACCCCGCCGGGGCCCCTGGGCCGGGGCTCGACAACCCTGATAAGGACATTGCAAAGTGGCGTCCCATTTGTCCTACGCACTCGGAATGTGGGGTTAGAGCTAGTAAAAAGGTGGCACAGGCAATCAACCGACTGTTGTGGGATTTGCCCTCGGCCACAAACTTCAATTTAAAAAGCATGGCTGACTTGGCAACGACTGTGGGCAGAGTCAATAAGGATCTGAGCAAAGGGGAGTGTTTTTCGAGCGCGGCTTTCGATATTAAAGAAATGTTTTGCAATCTAACGCATGTTTCAATCATGAAGGCAGTCTGCTGGGTGGCGGACTTCTGGGCGATCCGTGGATGTAAAGGTGTTTTGGTCAAAAGCAGGGTCAAAAGCAGGGGTAAGGAGGCCAAACTGAGATCTGGAGGCAAACAGTTAGGATATATCTCTATCCCGTTTGATATTCTCGTTGACTTTGTAGAATTTGACCTTGATTGCACTTTTTTCAGAGCCTGCGGTAGTACGATGCAGCAGAAGGTTGGTATTCCGATGGGCAAATCGTCCAGCCCCGCCTTGGCTTGCTTGTTGTGTGCTTATAATGAGTTCCGCTTTCTCTCGTCCCTTGGTTGCGACAGAAGATTGGTGAGTGATATACGCATGGTGGATGACGTTTCGATTTTGGTACGTTTCAACAGTAGGGACCCGCAGTCTTTTTTACTGGCTCAGACGATTCTCAGCAAGTTTAGGCTCTGTTATGACTCTAATCTTGTGCTGGAGCAAACCAGCAATGGGGACTGCTGGGATTTCTTGGGTTGCGTATTAAAGGTCCTTGATTGGCCACGGGGGGTTCAATGTATCGCGTTGCACAAGAATCAGAGGAATTTTGGAATTTCCGGTTTGCAGTTCCAGAGTTTACAGGATTTTAGTTCATTCTCAAGCAGGCAGCAGAAGATGGCGGTGATCGTTTCTTGTTTGCACAGGGCTAGAGCGTACACTACAATGCCTGGAATGGAGGTTGCTTTTCTCCTCACGTTGAAAATTGAACTGAGGAAGAGAGGGTTTCCGGATGCATATTTTGATGACGCCTTGCGGAACTTCTCAAAGAAATCTGGGGGCATTTGGGATGACTGGGTGAACTGTTTGACAGGGTGGGGCAGCCTGTTCCGTGGGGAGAAGGACAGGACCCGCGATGGCTGTTAGCGGGTTATTTAGTCAGGGTCACTTGGGTTGGTACCGGAATGTCGGACTGAGTGGGTAATCGGGTTATTTAGTCGGGGTCACTTGGGTTGGCACCGGAATGTCGGACTGAGTGGGTAATTGGGTTTGGGGGCTTCCGGTTGTACTTGTACGGCGGACCTGGACGTGTTCTTACTTTGCTTTTTTGCTTTTGTTTTTTGTTTTTTGGTTTTTGCTTTTTGGTTTTTGCTTTTTTACCCTTTGATTTTTCACGATTAAAAAGATTTCCCGAATTGACAGTGGGTCGTATTGACTGAGCGGTTTCGATAGTAGAGACAAGTGGCTACCGGGGAAGAAGACGACAACTTTTTGGTTTTCATGGTGTACCTCAACTGTATCTCCATCAAAGTCTGGAGAAGGTCGGGTCTTGGTGTTTTCTGTCCCCTGTTGGCGCTTAGACTAGTCCCTCAGGGCGAGTGGACTTCGCCGTATGAGGCGGATTCTCTATATCGAGATGCTTCTATTATGTATCTGGTCGGGTTTCCTTCCTTTTTCTTTTCCCTCCGAGTCTTATCTTTGAACTTAGTCTTGTTTTGGCAGACAGGGGTTTTGTCTTCGGTGTTCTCGAAGGTTTCTTGACTAGTACTTATTCCGTCTTTGCTACTCGCTCGATCCCTTTTCCTTGCGACTGTTCAAGACCCCTGACGAGCTCCGGTTTGGCGGCCGGACAAAACGCAGCGTAGGGTCGCTGCGCCATGTTACTATTGCATATTCTTTCGCTTTGTGGCGGTGCTTCATGCATTAATTTTTTCGGCCAGTCTTCTTTCGCTTTGTGGCGGTGCTTCATGCATTAATTTTCTCGGCCAGTCGGTCGCGTTTCGGGAATTTTTGGGACCTTGTCTTTTGCCTCTTTCCCTTATCCTCCCCCTCTCTCTCTCTCTCCCCTTTGTCTCTCTCTCTCTCTTCTTTCCTCTCTCTCTCTTTTTCTATCTCCTCTTTTCTTCTCTCTCTCTCTGTTTTTCCACTCTCTCCTTATTTCTATCTCGGTTTCCTACGTGACGCAATTATTTCGATTGGTTTTGTTGTGGATGATTTTGTCCTAATCGAGAGGTACCCTTGCAGGCAAAGGGACAGGTAGATTTACAGGCATGCAAACCCAGTGACGGGACAGTCAGAGCGGCAGGGGAAGAAACAGACGCGACAGAGAAGTCACAGAGACTGGCAGACAGAAACAGGCAACCTGACTGTTTCACCAAGAAACGAGGTGGCAGGCAGGGGATCTCTCTCTCTCTCTCTCTCTCTCTCTCTCTCTCTCTCTCTCTCTCTCTCTCTCT